TGCGTCCACACAGGGTCAGAGCGTCCATCTATGCGTCCATCTATGCGTCCACACAGGGTCAGAGCGTCCATCTATGCGTCCATCTATGCGGCCACACAGGGTCAGAGCGTCCATCTATGCGTCCACACAGGGTCAGAGCGTCCATCTATGCGGCCACACAGGGTCAGAGCGTCCATCTATGCGGCCACACAGGGTCAGAGCGTCCATCTATGCGTCCACACAGGGTCAGAGCGTCCATCTATGCGTCCATCTATGCGTCCACACAGGGTCAGAGCGTCCATCATGACCATGTGGTGAAGCAGAGCCAGAGTTGAACTGACTTGTGTCGTCACTTTCTTCCTCTCCCACGTAAAAGAGTTCTTCACATTGCCGCTCTTTTGTTCCAGAAATTTAGGTACAAGTAGTCAGAGTGTCCCATGTTGTCCCATGTTGTCCCAGAGTGTCCCATGTTGTTCCAGAGTGTCCCATGTTGTTCCAGAGTGTCCCGTGTTGTCCCATGTTGTCCCAGAGTGTCCCAGAGTGTCCCAGAGTGTCCCATGTTGTTCCATGTTGTCCCAGAGTGTCCCATGTTGTCCCATGTTGTCCCAGAGTGTCCCATGTTGTTCCAGAGTGTCCCATGTTGTTCCAGAGTGTCCCGTGTTGTCCCATGTTGTCCCAGAGTGTCCCAGAGTGTCCCAGAGTGTCCCATGTTGTTCCATGTTGTCCCAGAGTGTCCCATGTTGTCCCATGTTGTCCCAGAGTGTCCCATATTGTCCCAGAGTGTCCTATATTGTCCCAAAGTGTCCCATGTTGTCCCATGTTGTCCCATGTTGTCCCAGAGTGTCCCAGAGTGTCCCATGTTGTCCCATGTTGTCCCATGTTGTCCCATGTTGTCCCATGTTGCCCCAGAGTGTCCCATGTTGTCCCATGTTGTCCCATGTTGTCCAATGTTGTCACAGAGTGTCCCAGAGTGTCCCATGTTGTCCCATGTTGTCCCAGAGTGTCCCATGTTGTCCCAGAGTGTTCCATATCGTCCCAGAGTGTCCCATATTGTCCCATGTTGTCCCATGTTGCCCCATGTGGTCCCAGAATGTCCTAGAGTGTCCCATGTTGTCCCATGTTGTCCCAGAGTGTCCCGTGTTGTCCCAGAGTGTCCCATGTTGTCCAAGAGTGTGCCATATTGTCCCAGAGTGTCCCATATTGTCCAATGTTGTCTCATGTTGTCCCAGAGTGTCCCATGTTGTCCCATGTTGTTCCAGAGTGTCCCATGTTGTCCAGAGTGTCCCATGTTGTCCCATGTAGTCCCAGAATGTTCCATGTTGTCCCATGTTGTCCCAGAGTGTCCCATGTTGTCCCATGTTGCCCCAGAGTGTCCCATGTTGTCCCATGTTGTCCCATGTTGTCCAATGTTGTCACAGAGTGACCCAGAGTGTCCCATGTTGTCCCATGTTGTCCCAGAGTGTCCCATGTTGTCCCAGAGTGTTCCATATCGTCCCAGAGTGTCCCATATTGTCCCATGTTGTCCCATGTTGCTCCATGTGGTCCCAGAGTGTCCCAGAGTGTCCCATGTTGTCCCATGTTGTCCCAGAGTGTCCCATGTTGTCCCAGGGTGTTCGATATCGTCCCAGAGTGTCCCATATTGTCCCATGTTGTCCCATGTTGCCCCATGTGGTCCCAGAATGTCCTAGAGTGTCCCATGTTGTCCCATGTTGTCCCAGAGTGTCCCGTGTTGTCCCAGAGTGTCCCATGTTGTCCAAGAGTGTGCCATATTGTCCCAGAGTATCCCATATTGTCCAATGTTGTCTCATGTTGTCCCAGAGTGTCCCATGTTGTCCAAAGTTGTTCCAGAGTGTCCCATGTTGTCCAGAGTGTCCCATGTTGTCCCATGTAGTCCCAGAATGTCCCATGTTGTCCCATGTTGTCCCATGTAGTCCCATGTTGTCCCATGTTGTCCC